GATTCCCGGCCCCGCTCCCCGTGAACACGGAGCGATTCCCGGCCCCGTTCCCCGTGAACACGGAGCGATTCCCGGCCCCGCTCCCCGTGAACACGGAGCGATTCCCGGCCCCGCTCCCCGTGAACACGGAGCGATTCCCGGCCCCGCTCCCCGTGAACACGGAGCGATTCCCGGCCCCGTTCCCCGTGAACACGGAGCGATTCCCAGCGGATCTTACCCAGAAACGAGGAGTTTCCATCTCCCAGTGGGAATTTCTGGTACCTGGGAATGGTGAAGGGGGGGATGATTTGGAATTCCGCGGCCAGGAGCGGTTCGAGGCGGAACGACGAAGGGTCGGCGGGATGGAAGAGATTGTAGATTTGCTGACAGGTGGGACGACATTTAGCAACTGCGGGCAGAGAGAGAGAGAGAGATGGTCACAGCGTGAGATCCAACTCTACACCGTTCCCCCACCATCGACACACACACAGCAGCATCGGAGCTGTCTGATCCCAGGCCGACGTGAGCCGCTGTCATGTGAACGGTGAGAGGTTGGGAGAAGTGCGCCACCTCCCAGATTCCCCTCCCACGGGACGGTGGCGGTGTGAGGGGGGTGGGGGCCAGCGGTTAACAGGAGCTGCAGGGGGTGACGAAGGAACATGGCAATAACAGCCAGAGGATTGGAATGCAGGAGCAGGGATATCGCACCGTGATCACATGTAGTGAGAACACACACAGTCACGGAGCTGTAAGGCAGGGAAACAGACCCTTCGGCCCAACCCGTCCGTGCTGACCCGATATCCTAAACTAATCTAGTCCCATTTGCCAGCATTTGGCCCCTATCCCTCTAAACGCTTCCTATTCATGTCCCCATCCTGATGCCTTTTAAATGTTGTATTTGTACCAGCCTCCACCACTTCCTCTGGCAGCTCATTCCATACACACACCACCCTCTGTGTGAAAAAGTTGCCTCTTAGGTCCCTTTTAAACCTGGGGTCCTGGGGCGGATGGAGGGGGCGAATGGGAGCAGAGGGCTGGGTGTGGGATCTGCTTACAGTCCAGTCCCGGGGCCGCGGTTTTCCTCAGGGCTAGCACCAGGGCCAGAGGAGACCCAAACAGGAAGAGGTCAGACACTTCAAACTCCAACTGCTCGTTCCCCTCCAGGTTCAGCATCGAGGAGCTGGGTCGGAGGTTGCTGTGATCCTTCAGCGCTGAGGCCTGTAAACTGTCAGCACAGAGATACGGAGGGGAGGGTGTGGGGGAAGAGGGAGGGAGAGGGACAGAGGGAGAGAGCAGGGGAGACAGCAGGGGAGGGGGGTGTGTGGAGAGAGCAGGAGAGAGAGAGAGTGAGGGAGGGGGGAGAGAGACAGAGGGAGAGAGAGGGTGGGAGAGGGAGGGAGAGAGAAAGGGAGGGAGAAGGGAGAGAGAAAGGGAGGGAGAAGACAGAGAGAGAGAGCAAGACAGAGAGAGAGACAGAGACAGAGAAAGAGAGAGACACAGAAAGAGAGAGATAGGGAAAAGGGGTTGGGGGGTAAGAGAGAGACAGAGAGACGCATCAGGGCCAGATATCCCACAAGATCTTGCACACACACCCCAACACACATGCACACATATACATGCACGTGCACACAGACACACATACACACACACACACACACACAGACGCACACACACACACAGACGCACACACACACACAGACACAGACACACACACACACACACACAGACACACACACACACAGAGGCACACACACATACACACACACACAGAGGCACAGACACACACACATACACACACACACAGAGGCACAGACACAGACACACAGACACACACACACACACATACACACACACACACAGAGGCACAGACACACACACACACAGGCGTGCAGACTCCCAAACCCAGGGATGACTGGGCAGTGATGGGTAGCAGGACGTAGATGTTGTGGATTTATCTCACGTTGTGAGGAAGGTTCGATGCTGTTTGATGGAGTCGATGTCAGAAGCAGATGAGTTGCTGTGTTTTCTGGGCACAGCCCCCTCAGCGTCCCCCAATGTTACAGTAGAGAGCTCGCTATGACTCTTACTGAGCGGGCGGCTCATCCCCAGCCCCGGGCTGCTCAGCGGGTCAGTATCGATCAGAATCTCTGGGGAGAGTCTCTCAGTACTCTGTGAGAGAGACAGGAGGGAGACACACAGAGGGACAGGGAGGTGGGGACAGAGCAGGGTGGGAGGGGGGACAGAGGGCAGGGCAGAAGAGAGAATAATATGTGAATAGAAACAGTTATTTTGCCTGTCCCAGCAGCATCTCATATAACTGACTTGATCTATTGCTCCCCACCTCACTCTCCCTCTGCACTGTCCTTGTCTTTCCCATGTTTATTGGTGTGTGTGTGTGTGTGTGTGTGACACTGTGTGTGTGACACTGTGTGTGTCACTGTGTGAGTGTGACACTGTGAGTGTGAGTGTGACACTGTGAGTGTGAGTGTGACACTGTGTGAGTGTGACACTGTGTGTCACTGTGAGTGTGTGTGTGTGTGACTGTGAGTGTGTCACTGTGTGTGTGTCACTGTGAGTGTGTGTGTGTCACTGTGAAAGTGTGAGTGTGTGACACTGAGCGTGTGTGAGTGTGTGACACTGAGCGTGTGTGAGTGTGACACTGAGCGTGTGAGTGTGTGACACTGTGTGAGTGTGACACTGAGCGTGTGAGTGTGTGACACGGTGTGAGTGTGACACTGTGTGTGTCACTGTGTGAGTG